AAGCTGTTGCTCACAAAAGCTTATGCGTTTCCAATTCACTTAATCTGTAAGGTGCACCTGTCCACACCTGTACACTGTCCTCTACTCGGTTCGTCACAGCGTGTTCCAAGGTTTACTTATGCATTGTGGAATCAAATGTGTTTTTTTTTATCAGTGGCCTTTAAATTTGATCGCTTGTTTCCTTGTTCTTGCGTTACCATTTTGATGATGTGGGCTGTTGTTCTATTGTCTGGCTAGCCACAGGGCAAGAAATTAATAAAAGAAGGGCTCCTTTTGACCTCACAGAAATGAAACAAGGTTTTGAAATATGCTGTAGGTTGCAAGTAAGAGAGAAACAGTGGGAAAAAACCCGTCATACCCAGTTCACTTTCCCTTTCATGATCTTCCCCAGTGTGACATAGGATAGGAAAGATGGACCTACGGTCTGATCCAGTAAATGGCAGTTCTTATTATGTTACTTTTGTATGCCGACTTAATTATTGTAATTTAGGACTGATCTGGTGTTTTTAGTTTTCCTGCATTTTTAAAAGATCATATTCATTTCATTATGTGGTGCTGACTTTAAATGTTTCACTTACCTCCTGTCCCCTGTATTGAACTCTAATGCCTATGGCTGACACACCACATACTGATTAACTTTGCTCTTGTAATATGATAGATGGCAACCTCAGTGACTAAACTGACCTCTCTACCCTGAGACATTTTTGGTAACTTTGCCATGTTATCTCTTCCTCATTTCTTCTCTAAACTAAATAAGCTTAATGTTATTTTTGTCTCAGACAGAAAGTTCTCCATGCCTCTGGTTTCCTTGTCCTCTTCAGAGGTTACATAAAACTAAAATCTGGACCACACCTATTAAGAAATAATCATAGCATCTTTGGCACAAAACAGACTGTTAGTTCTGAACTGCATCCACGTTCCAGATAGGTGGTAATAGTACATTCTGCATCCCTGCACTTCAACGCAGCCTGGCCCAGACCCCTGCCAGAAAGCCCAGCTTAGCCCTGGCCCCAGCCCGCAGCTACAGCCTGCCTTCCCCCACACAGATCCAGGGGCATATGCCCCCCATGCCCTCTGGGGGTGCACACAGCGGTAGGAGCCACACCTCCCACCATGTCAGGCATCCCCTGGACGAGCCACTCAAAGCTTTGTCCCTCGCCCCAGCCTGAGCCCCACTCCCTCTCCCTCCCCACCCTGCTGCAGTCATTGGAAGCCCGCAGCCAGGATGCCTTGCGGCCTTACCGCTGCCCCACATTTGAAGGGGCTAAGTCCTATTAGCCCCCTCTTCCACCGCCTATAGTAGCAGCTCTTCTATTACTGTTGGTAATGATACCTGTCCTTCTTCACAAGGACCTTCCACACAGATCTGCATAGTGTCCAGCCTTCTGCCTTATAGGAGAGAAGCAGCTGTGCCATTATTGTTGTCTTCCAGCACTCAAATGGGAAGATGCAGCATTTCTGAAGTAATAAACAATTGTCATTTCAGCTGCCCCTACATTATAATGCCTTCTAGTAACTGTGCCCTTGATTTAATGGTGCATGATCAATGGCAGCAAAAAAACAAAAATCTAAAAACACATCCTAGTAAAAGGTAAGCCAAAGAGAACGATAAAAGGTCACCCCTAAGGAAGCTGCTGTTCAAATGCAGTGCTCCTTAGAGCGACAATAAAGTCTTCTCTATTGGTTAGAGTAGAGCAGTGATTCTCAACCAGGGTGCCACAACAAACCCTTTCAAGGGTGCCATGGAGTGATGCACAATGTTAGCACTGTTAGATATGTAAACATGATTCAAAAGATAAAACCAGAGATTTTAAATAGAAATTCATAGATGTGGTTTTACTGAGGTCTTATAAAAGAAACACTGCTTTATTATTTGCCTATGGTCAAAAAAAGAGTGAAAACAAAGAGCTGGCTGGCATTTTCCAACAGGTGCCTTGAGTGTAACCAGGGGTGCCCTGAATCTAAAAAGGTTGAGAACCACAGACTAGAGCTTGAGCCTCTCTCAGTTTTACACTGTTATCAATTATTTAAATTTTTAACCAAGATTCAGCTGTTTTAAAAACTCAGTGTAGTAAATGGGCTGTGCTCTTGGGAGATGTGATGCAAAGTGCAGCCTTTCACCAAATCCATTCAGTTTCATATGCACACCCCTGCCTCTCCCTGCAAACAGCCTGAATTCAACTCTTGTGTCAGGTCAGAAGATGAATGCACGTAGGTGCCTGCCTTAGTTGATGATTTCCATGGTGCGAATGTCACAATGCTCTTTGACATAGCTGGCATCATTGTTCAGAAGAGGTATGGGCACTGTGGTAAATTGGGAGAACAATGTCTAGGGGAAGTCTGACAGCTTCCTTCTGTGCTGGGCCTGCTTGTAACCACAGCCATTAATTAAATGAATAATCATGTTCAAAAGGTAGGCACTGAGAGCTTAGTGTAACACTAGGAGCAGATATGCAGGGTTTCCGAGAGGTCTGGAACCCCTCTTCAGGTAGCTGAAGGCTGCTCTCAAATCCCCTCTCAGTCTTCTCTTCTCCAGCCTAAAAAAACCCCAGTTCCCCCAGCCTCTCCTCAGGAATCACAGAATCATAGAAAATTAGGGTTGGAAGGGACCTCAGGAGTTATCTAGTCCAACCCCTGCTCAAAGCAGGACACTCTCCAGCTAGGTCATTCCAACCAGGGCTTTATCAAGCCAGGCCTTAAAACACTCCAAAGATCAAATCTGCCCTCCACCCCACCCCACCCCACCCCCCAATCTTCTCTTCTGTAGACTAAATAAGTCTCCGCTCCAAGTCACGTCCCCCAGCCCCCTCACCATTTTTGTTTCCCTCCGCTGGACTCTCTCCAACTTGTCCATATCCTTTCTGTAGTGGGAAACCCAAAACTGAACACAGTACTGCAGACGTGGTCTCACCAGTGCTGAATAGAGGGGAATAATTACTTCCCTTGATAATGACAGGTGCCATGTATTACACTTAAAACAGAGCAATCAAATTTGCAAATACAAAATGGGAAATGACTGGTTAGACTGCACTAGAAAAAAAATGTGTGATTTATGCTGGATCACAAAACTGAACTTTAATCTGTGCAATATGCTTACAAACAAAAATGCTACTAGCACATAGGGGAGTATTAAGGGAAACGTCATCACAATTCTTCCATTCAGCATTGGTAAGGCCTCTCTCGGAGTACTGTCCCCAGATTTGGTAATCACACTTTAATAAAAAGGTGGACAAACTGGAAAAAATCCAGAAGACAACAACAAAACTGATTACAGCTGTAGAAAATATTACATCTGAGGAATGGTTGGAAGATTAATTGTTAATCTAGAGAGGAAAAGATTGAATCTAAAAATAGGTTGTTGTAAAGAGAATCACATTTCTCCGTGTCTACAGGGGAACAGGACAAGATAATCGGGCTTAAAAAATGCAAACTAGGGAGATTCAGGTTAGATATTAGGAAAACTTCTTAACCACGAGGATGGTCAAGCAGTGGAACAAATTACGTAGAAAAGTGGTAGAATCTCCGTCATCGGAAGTGTAAGACCAGGTTAGACAAACACTTTTTGGAAGGGTTTAGATAGGGATGATTTTGCCCTGAGCACAGCGTGGGTGGGTCCATATGACCGCCTGAGGTTCCTTCCTGTCCTATTTTTCTAATGATTCTAGAAGGAAAGGAAAAACAGACTTAAAGCCAGTTTAACTTTCAGATCCCAAGTGGAGTTTGCAGTTTTAACAGAGAGAACAAATATTCTTTTTCATATAATAGAAGCACAGTTCACAGTAAAATCACATGAAACACCACCACATCATTTTTACAGGATCAATTATTATCGGAGTAGTAACACTTAAGAAAGAGGCAGAAGTATTGGAGATGCCACTCTAAAAGTAACTCCATATCCAATCCATATGACAAGCTGTAAAAAGAGACCATAAGACGTGGAGGCAGAGTTAGAATTGTTCCAGTCCTGTCACTGATAAGGATGTAGTTATAGATGCAAGATAGGGGACTCCTGTCTCAGAGATCCCTCTTCATATCCCAAAGCACAGAAAAATAAAATAGCTATTTTACCTTACTCTAGTCCCCATACTGAAAAACATTAAGCAAGACAAATCAAATGACACCTGCTACATATGCATAAGGATGAATATACTTAAGGCTTAGATCCTCAAAAAAATCACTTCCATTGACTTCAAATTCAAGCTTCATTAATTTCATTGGGAATTAGCCACAGATCCTGGAAAGTCTCTGGTGCCAATGTAAGTGTACACTCTGCCTGTCCCCAGCATGCAGGTCAAGTGTGAGCAATACTAACCAAACTTCCCCTCATCTGTCATCATGCAGGCCTCTTTTGAGCAATACAAATCTGTTGGCAAGACACCTGCCAGGTCAAGTGTCCATAATGGAACATAATGGGTG